TGATGAACAATTGAGCATTATATCCTCTTGGATTAGATATTTTGGCAGAATTCGGGTAAGAGTGCATATATCTACAATGAACTATGGATGTGTAAAAGCAACAATACGTTTCCCCCAATGTTTATGGTCGACAGAATCAGCTGTTTATCCTTTATGAGTGATATTACTGTTTCGTGTACTTATAAGTTATGAAGGATACTTCTATTCCGATAGGGACGAAACAGAGGAGAAAGGAGGGGGTAGTTGCTCATAATTTGTCTTAGATTAAAAAGACTATACAAATTTGTGTCCTTAGTTTCTAAATTTGAAATATTACACACATAAAAAGTTAGAATGTAAACTTTTGTCCCTCAAAAATTTTGGTTCCTCCCCTACGCCCTAAGAAGTAAGGAGACCCTATTTTGTATATTGTATCAATGTTGAACATGTTTTGGGCATGTTAAAAGATTGAAGAAAAAGAAGTAGAAATAAAAATGTTCATAAAAACAGAACAAAAAGGAAGAAATAATGCTCCAGAGGAGCCCACACTTTAGAGAGAAAGGCCTTGGTTGTCTTGTGGCCAACAACAAAGACATATAAGAGAGTAGGAGAAGAGTGAGAATAAAGAATAGGAGAGGAGAGCAACAGAGTTCGCTTGGTTATGGCCAACCATAAGGTAATGGGATGGGGAGGACTTTACTGACAAGAAGGAAATGCGAGATGATAGGAAAAGAGTGCCGTATTGCATCCTTGCTAGAGGGAAGAAAGAGGTGAAGGACACTGTTTTGGTTGTGCACAAGAACGATGTGGGTGGGTGCGGCTATTTGTTCAGCTTTTGCACATCAATGAGATGAGTGTTGTTCCCGAGTTTTCTTTTTTCTTTTTCTTTTTTCCTTTCCTTAAATATCATTAACTTCCAAATATATCTTTTTTCGTCATAGGTATGGAAATGTGTTTGAAGTTTTTCTTTTTGATAAGAAACAATTTAATTGATGATATGAAATTACAAAAATAGGAAAACCTCCCTTGAAGGGAGTTACAAAAAAATTCTCTAACTGGACATGATAGAAGAAAAGCTATGGTAATGGAATAGGGGGGGGAATACTTAGACCAAATAACCACAAAAACGGCTATAGCGGTCAAAGGAGCATTCCACATCGTTGTGTTCTTGCCAAGTGATCCATAAGAAAGCTCGCACAAAATTCATCCAAAGGAGCTTCTTTTCCTTTTTAAGTTGGTGATATCCGAGAGCATTAGTGAGGAGAGAGAAAGCATCATTTGATAGAGGCTTAGATAATTCAAAGCTAGAAAGAAGATAGGATTTCATTCTCATATTCACGTCTTAATTTTTTGAAAATTTCACAATATCATGCCCATATCTATGCTTCCTATTATGTATCCATTTTGAATAGTTTTAGTTTTTCAAAATTCTTCAAACATCTTTGAGGTTGAAAAACCTCTCCTCTCTCTCTCCTCCAGCCCCCATCCAGTTGACTTCATTCATTTTCATGGATAGCGTGGTCATGTGCTTGTGTTCTTTTCTTTGGTGGAAACTGCTTGTTCTTGTGTTTATCTTAATATATTTCTTGTCAGTTTGCTTTCATGATTCTTTCCTTCCATTTATGATTCCTTCCAGATGTGATGATATGGAAATCCTATGGTAGTAGTTGTCTTGCATAATCCAGAAGATTTCTATTTCTGTACACTGAATTGGTCAAAACCTTCTTGATGGGAGCTAAATTGAGCCTAAACATTTTTGGGGCGAGAGTTGGCAGTCCCGATGACTTTGTTCCTGTCGAAACTTGCAAAAAGCAAAAATTGATGCCGAACTATTGGGAGGAAAACCATAGACTGATTTCCAGCCTTCCTGATGAGATATCTATCCAGATTCTAGCTAGAGTTCCCAGGATACACTACTTGAGTCTTAAGTTGGTCTCTCGAGCATGGAAACATGCCATTATAAGCAATCAGCTCTTCCATCTCCGACAGGAACTCGGGACAGCTGAGGAATGGTTGTATGTATTGACAAAGGTTAAGGATGGGAAACTTCTGTGGTATGCTTTGGATCCGCAGGCTCAACGATGGCAGAAGTTGCCCCCGATGCCTACTGTTTCTCTAGAAGATGAATCTAAGAAGGGGTTAACCGGGCAACGGATATGGAATATGGCTGGCTCTAGTATGAGAATTGCAGATGCTATAATGGCTTGGCTTGGTAGGAAGGATGCATTAGATCAAATGCCATTTTGTGGTTGTGCTGTTGGTGCAATTGATGGGTGTCTGTACGTGTTAGGTGGATTCTCTAGTGCTTCCGCGATGCGATGTGTTTGGCGATATGATCCTGTTGCAAATTCATGGAATGAAGCACACCCTATGTCAATTGGTAGAGCATATTGTAAAACTACTGTTTTAAACAACAAGCTTTATGTCGTTGGAGGGGTCACAAGGGGTAACGGTGGTTTGACACCGCTACAATCTGCTGAAGTATACGATCCACATACAGGCATCTGGTCCGAAATGCCAAGCATGCCCTTTGCTAAAGCTCAGGTATTGCCTACTGCATTTCTGGCCGATCTACTCAAGCCAATTGCAACAGGACTAACGTCATACCAGGGCAAGTTATTTGTGCCTCAGAGTCTATATTGCTGGCCATTTTTTGTCGACGTCGGAGGAGAAGTTTATGACCCGGATGTGAATGCCTGGGTCGAAATGCCCGTGGGCATGGGTGAGGGGTGGCCCGCAAGGCAAGCTGGAACAAAATTAAGCGTCACGGTCAACGGGGAACTGTATGCATTGGATCCTTCTAGCTCTCTTGACAATGCCAAGGTCAAGGTCTATGATTCCCAATCTGATGCCTGGAAAGTTGTGGCAGAAGACATTCCCATCCATGACTTCTCTGATTCAGAATCTCCTTATTTACTCGCTGGGCTGACCCATAAACTTCATGTCGTCACCAAAGATGCAAATAACAACATAACTGTCATGCAGGCTGGTGTGAGAAATCATCATCTAGCTTCCTTCCACTCGGCATCATCATCGTCATCACCATCTTCGCACGATATCTGCTTTGAATTGCATGAATCTGAAGAGGAATCCGAAAATTTTACGAGGGTGATTGCCACTAGAACCGTCGGGTCGGCCGAACTGGTAAGTTGCCAGACCCTTGTTATATAGCCGTATATAGTTTCAGTATAATTATCCATACTCAAGAAGGTGGTTGAAAATCTCAATTTTTTCCCTCTCTTCTTAGCAAAAGAATGTTTTATGCGGCTGATATGCAAAGTTTTATTGTGCAAAGTAATGTGTAGCCCGATCAATGGTTTAAACGATTGAAACTTCATTTGAAGTGGATATATATATATATATATGTCATATTTTTGCTATTTGAGAGATTATCGTCTTCCTTAATTCTAATGTCATGAGCTAAGATTTTGAGTATATGTTGCTGCAACGAAATCTTGCACTCTGAAAGTTTAGTTAAGTGTTGTAATTCTCAACCTCTATTAATTTACACACTAATTTTAACTAGAAATAATGAAAAAAAAATTCAAAACTTATTAATTTAATAAAAATCTAGGCACTGATTAATGTACAAAATTAAATATTAAATAATAGAAAATTATCCATATTTGTAAAAATGTCCACCTCTTTTCGTAATAGGGTTTGATAATTCCAAACTTTTATTATTTTAATTTTACTCTTATGACATCTAATATAATATATATATATGATGTAATTCTAATGGACAACTTCTCATGTATTTCTAAAGTTCGTATGATGTAATTCTGATGTACGTAGAAGACGTTAAATATTAGTTTGCGAAATGATAAAAATTGTCCAAGAGTCATTCTTTGAACATTTGTATTTGAGTTGGTGAAAGTAATGTTACTATGTTATTTGGTGCTCCTAATTTTGAGCAATATTGTACCTTCAAACTAGAATACCATATTTTTAATATATATTATGAATATAATATAAAAACATATAATAAGTATATCAATAAGGGAGATTCATATCAAAGGTATATTAGAGGTTCTTATAAGCACACATATTAGAGGTGTATCAGAACGCGCATACCATAAGGTTTATCCAAGGTAAATTAGTACATACATATAACAAACATGTTAAAAACTCATATCAAAGGTATATCATAAATCAAAGATACATGAGAGGTAAATCAGAAATTAGAGATACATTAGAAATTATAGATACATTGGCGATACATCAAGGTATATTAGAAATCAGAGATAAAAACGAGGTATATCAAAATTATATCAAGAGTATCTTAGAAATTAGAGATATGTCAACGGTACATCAAAAGTGTATCAGAAATAAGAGGTACATCAAATATATGTTACAAGTGTATTACAAATGAGAGATACATTAGAGGTTAAATCCTATGTATATTAGAAAAATATCAAAAGTCATAGGTACATCATAGGTATATTAGAGGTCTATTAGAAATCAGACATACATTAGAAATATATCATAAATCAGGAATACATATGAGGTATATTAGAAATCATAGATATATTAGATGTATATTAGAATTATATAAAGATTAAGAGGTACGTCACAGGTATACTAGAAATGAAAGATACATTAGATGTAAATTAGAGGTATATTAGAGATTTGAGCTTTAAYGGTATATTTATCATTTTATTATTTCGACTTTTTTTTTTCAAAAATTTTGTTATGTTACAAAACTAAAATGTTGGTACTAAATCTCCCGTTTTCTTTAATTTTCTTTTGCCATAATTGCAAGTGCCCTTAAATAATTATGTCAAAACTTACACATTTCAAGAATAAACTAGTTGTTTCGTTTTTATCTAAATCTTATCAATTTTGTACTAAATGTATGTTTTATAATCTATTGGACACACAAGAGAATACTCCGTTCGATAATTTTTTAAATAGAAACTTTTCAAATGTAAAAATTGCAATACTTTTAAAGTTTAAGATGATGACTACAACACTTATTCAAATTTATGGTACAACTTGATGAAATTAAAAATTCACGATAGAATTGATAAACTTTCCAAGTTTATGATAAAAATTGATATTTTTCATGAAATTAAAAATTCAATAATCTTTTAGACACTTTTATATATATATATTTTTAAGTACAAACACAAAAAGTATAACAAAAGGAAAATAGCGTGTTTGGTGACAACATCATTAACTCATGGTGGGTGGTTTCCTAACCATATTTGTGATTGTCTGTTTCTTCGAGCGTGTACAGGTGCATGGAGTGAAGAGAAAGTCGACAACGAGACCTCGCCTTTGATGGTCTTTGAGTTCATTGAAAAAAAAATTGGAGTTAATTTACCACCTATTCATCACAAACAAGAAAGCTCCAAAGATCAAAGATAATAGACCTTATCTTACTAGGAGACACTTTTATAGTTAAGAGACTTATTAGATACCGTATTAAAAATTTAGATACTTGCTAAATATTTTTTTTTTTAAATTCAAGAATCTATTAGACATAACTTGAACAGACTTATATCTTTAATCAAAGATATATCTCTACATTTAACAAAGTAGACAAAATCAAAGATATATCTCTACATTTAGTCGAGTAGACAAAATAAGCAGTTCAACGCTAAAAGAATCTACTTCTTCCTTTAGATGAGATGTTAAAAGCCTCACATTTTTCTACTAAAAAAGAGGTTAAATTACAAATTTAGTCTTTAAACTTTTAAGTTTATATTTAATAGGAACTTTCAATTTTGTGTCTAACAATAGATCTTTTAACGTATTCGATTTTTTTTTTTATAAATATATTAACTCCTCTATTCAACATAAAACTATATTCGGTATCCAATAGGACATCAACTTTTAATTTTATATATTATAAATTTGTGAATTTTAAGAATATCGATGATGTCAATGACTCATTAGATATAAAATTAAAATATTCAAAAACTTAGAAACTTAAATATTTGTTTGACGCTATTTAATATTTATAGTTCAAAAGCGCGTTAAATATAAAATTGAAAGGTGACTAGGGGACCCATGAGCTAAAAATACGAAAGTTTAAGAATAATATTGTAATTAAAAAAAAAAAATGGAAGTAGCCGTTGAAAAGGGGAAAACAACACTGCGAGACGAAATCCATTGTACAGAGTTGTTTCAGCTGGTGTTGTTTCTTCAACCTCGCGGCTCTTCATTCTCTCCCAGTTGACTCTCAATCCTCCTTCCATTTCTCAGTCAAACGATCTGTATTTTTCTATTTCTTGATTTCGTCAGACTATTGACGGAGAAGAAGATTGATTATTAAGGCAAAATATCGTGGAAATGGATTCCATCACTACCTCCACCACTCGATCATACACAACGCCGGAGATACGATTCGATTATCCCTAGGGTTTTTCAATTTTTCCTACCAAGGAAGGCTTACCATCTTCGTCGTAGTCGGGACTCAACATCTTATTATGAACTCGACCGGTAGAGATAGAAGAAACAATGAAATGGAGAGAGCAACGTGGTTGTTCTCAGCATTTTTGCCTTCTCTGCTCTTAATTTTGGCCATGGGCGTCGTTTCACGGGTCTCTGCTAACAATGAAGGTTTGTGATTTCGCGACCTTTGCCTTTTTCTCACCATTCCATTTATTTTATCAGCAGTAACACGCACTTACAGAAACCGTAGTTGTGAAATCCGCTGGACGTTTGGATGAATTTTCATTACTATTACTGCCTGCAGATTTTTTTCGGATTAATTTCCCCAACAAAGGGTTCTTCGTCAAACTTTTGCTTCAATAATAACAGTAAAAATATATGCAATTGACATATATCAATGTCAATGTTCACAGTTTCCTTGTGTGTCCTAAACAGGTGATGCCCTGAATACCTTCAAGATGAGTTTGGTCGATCCCAACGATGTCCTGCAAAGTTGGGATCCCATCCTTATGACTCCTTGCACATGGTTTCATGTTACATGTAATGAAAAAGAAAGTGTTATACGAATGTAAGTTTGGTCTTCCTACATGAATTGTTTCTCTAATTAGTCACGATTCACAAGAAATTATAAGCAAAGTGTTTCATGTGACTATCTTGAACAGTGATCTTGGGGATGCGAATCTCTCTGGAAAACTGGTTCCACAGCTTGATCAACTCACAAGCTTGCAGTACTTGTACGTCACTCTGATTTAAGACGAAGTCTATGCCTTTTCTCATTGCATTTTACATATATAGCATTCAGAAGGTTGTCAGCTGTTCTTCCCCCTTCTCGTTTCAGTCTTTGTACTGCATAACTACTTTTTAGTTAGTAATTCTCATCATCATGTTAGTTGGTATTATTGCATGGTTATATTGTTACTCATGTATTTTAGGAGATAATAAAAGATCAGGAATAGTAATCAAATACTATATATACTGTTTTTTTGTTAATTGTGTAAGGTTGATTAATATCTCATCATCATGTATGTTCATTGAGAAACAAAAATACTTAGAAGAAGATTCTAAAATGGTTGGAAACTTGCATAAGAATTAAGAGTATGGTTAATTGCAGAAGAATAGAGTGAGAATTTGATTGATGAGACTTGTGGCTATTCACTCAATTAATATGCATGATTTTGAGGAAGAAATTGCTATTATTAGGTTGACGCAACTTCAAATTTGAGCAATGCCATCTTCACGACATTCCTCCCATCAAATTGACAAGACCCAATAGACCAAAATAAGTTGCTTGGATTTGAGATTTYTATGTGCAAGAAATTTGTAAAAAAATGTCAATATCCCATGGGACCAAAATAAGTAACTTGAATTTGAGGATTTTTATGTGCAAGAAAGTAGTAAAAAAGTGTCAATATCCCATGGGCAGTTTATTGAAGAAGCTTATTTTCAAAATCTTGAAAWTTCAAAGAACTTGTTTAGTTGGATTGGTTTGAGGATGACTACTTAGCTATTTTGATTGTTATTTCAAAGGAGAAGTTTCTCAAACAAGGATGAAAACCATGGAAGAATTTTTTCTTGGTTTTGTTGGTTATTTTTATGAAGGAGAAGGTCAGGCTTAGCCAAAAACCACAGAGGAAGTCGAATTGTGGTTGTATCAAAGAGTTGTATGACTTCTTGCATTTCCAGATTTTTCTAAAACATTTATTCTCGAGACCAACGCTTCTGGTTAGGATTGGGTTTATGCAAGAAAAAAGACCTGTGGTGTATTTCAGTTGGGTAATTTCTTCTAAAGCTAGGGTGAAATTGATGTATGAGAAAGAATTCATGGCAATTGTGATGGCTCTTAAAAGTTCAAACATGGATTAGGGAGAGAATTTATTATTTGTACCGATCAGCAAAGTCTAAAATATTTGTTGGAACAACGACTTATCAGCGTGGAACACCAAAAATGGCTTACCAAATTATTGGGATATGACTTCGAAATTCAGTAAACCGGGAATTGAAAATAGAACTGCCGATGCTCATTTGAAATTTACTTCCAATTTGACTCTTGCAGCTATGTTCATTATTGGTGATGAGTATGTTCATCAAGCAAGAAGGGGATAAAAACCCATTTGAGTCAAATATTAAGCTGCAAATTCAAGATGGCAAAGGGAGCACCCCAAACTTTACTGTTGTATCACATCTATGGAGTTCTAAAAACAGGTTGGTCGTTCAAAAAAATTCAGCTCTTCTTCCTGCTTTACTTAAACGAGTATAACTGACATATTGGAGTGTTAAAAACTTGTAAATGAATTTCAAGAGATATGTATTGGGCGGGTTTATTCAAATTCATCAACGATTTTGTTGATAAATGTGATTTGTGCGCCAGCACAGTAAATATTTTGACTATGTCTCCGGCAGGTCTTCTTCAACCATTACCTATACTGGAGTTGTATTGGGATGATATTTGCATGGATTTCATCAAAGGTCTTCCACATTCAGATGGGAAAGATACAGTGTTGGTGGTCGTTGACCACTTGACAAAATATGCTCATTTTCTATTGCTTCACCATCCTTTTACAGCCGCAACTGTTGGAACTCTATTCATAAAGGAAGTGGTCTGATTACATGGATTTCCTAATTCCATTATTTCTGATCGAGACAAAGTCTTTTTAAGCAACTTTTGGAATGCGTTATTTAAATTTGAAGGGACTTCTTTATGGAAAAAGCACTGGTCATCACCCTCATGGCCATGCTTTGATAAGGTATGCTGCATTTTTTTTTTTTTGGGATAAGAAACATAACTATATATTCAAAAACCAAACAGCCAAAAGAAACAGCCTAAAGGCGGGTAGAAAACCCTCCCCAAAGAGCTATACAATCATCGCTTTCCAATCTTGTATAATCGCATGTAGCTGTATATTCACACAAAAAGAATCCACTAAGGACTTTTTATCTTAAAAAAGTCTACTATTTCGCTATTCTAGAGGAGCCAAATCAAGGCTCTCGCCGCACAATTCCATAGAACAAAACCTTTTCCTTTAAGGTTACCACCCCCAAACCTTCTGGAATAAACTCATCAATCTTCTTAGGGGGCAAAGGTTATAATCCAAAAGAGAAGCAATATGGAACCACGCTTCATAAGCTACTGGGCAGTGAAGAAAAAGATGATCCACCGTTTGTACCTTCTGTAAACACATACTACATACTAAGGGAGAAAGAGTCCAATGGAGGAGCTTTTTCTGGAGCTTTTCTGGCGTGTTAATTCCTCTGTAGAACAAAGACCATATGAAAACCTTTACCTTTTTGGGACCATAAAATTCCAAATCTGTGTGTAGAGGACTTCAGTCTTGGTGAAGGGGTCGTGAGAGCCAAGAAGACCGATTTGGCTGAAAAGATTCCGTTTCTGTCGACCTTCTGGTATGCTGCATCTTCATCACCCATTTCTCAAGTGGATCGAATTTTACGAGATAGGGATGCCACCCTCAACAAATTATGAAAAGTCAATCTGATAAACACTGTCATGATGTACATTTTTAATGTGGGAGACATGGTTTTTCTTAAACTACAAAAATATCGCCAACTCTCTATTGCAAGACAAAGAACTGCTCACCCACATACTATGGTGCCTATGCTGTAGAGACTAACTGGATTTGCTGCCAAGCTCGTCTATTCTTCCTGTTTTTCATGTTTCACGATTAGAACTTGCTAAAGGTACTGCTTTTCAACCAGGTCCTATTCCCCCTAATTTTGATGCTAATACTGCTGATAATACTTCCAGAATTTTCCTAACAAGCGGTGCTTGGACTCCAACCAGCTGCTGGTAATACTTAAAGGGGAATCAGAGGTCCTTATTCAGTGAGAAAACCAATCAGTGGACGAGCCCTTCAACATTATTAAATTGCAGTTTCCTGCATTTGACCTTGAGGTCAAGGTAATGCTTTGGGTGGGGAGTATAAATAGACAAATCAATCCTCCTACTCAATTTACTTAAAGAGGGGGCATGCGTGACCAATAGGGAAGTTAGAAGGGAGTTGAGAACATAAGTATGTAGTGGATTGAGAGTTATGGTAACTACTTGTATTTAAAGAAGAGTAGTTGGAAAAAAGAGTCAACTATCATCTTTGTATTGTGCAGAGAGAACAGACCTTTTGAACGTTTGTACAAATGTAATTCTCTTTTGTCTATGCTAAATAAAGAAATACTCTTCCAATTGTCTACCAAGTTTTTGATAGGTTCTTGAACTCTTAATTTTTTGTCCAATAGGTCTCTACTTTAGCTTTGTGGTATAATGTTTACACCACCGAATACTTGAAGCTCCTTGAAATTAACTCTCTATGTAATCCTTAATTAATCTAGGTTGTGTACACCAGTGTTTTTGAGGCGCAAGGTGCACCGCAAGGCGACGAGTCCTTTGATCGCCTTGAGGCGATACAAAAGCGACGCCCGATTGAAGCGAGGCGCACCTTAATAAATAAGTAAAATTTATATATATAGTGCATAAATTACCTTAAAAAAATCAATACCAAAATAGTAAATGTCAACCAGATGCATAAAACAACCACATTCTATAAGTTTAGTTCCAAATAAAGACAAGCAACATTAAAAATTCTAGAGTCTGAAATAGAACAAAAAGTAAATATAAGTAATTAAAGCTCATCATTCTCATCTAAATCTAAATTCTCTTCATCTTGGACGTCCTCACAATCTTCCTTTTCCAATTCTTCTTCTTCGGCGTCATCATCATCATCACTAACCACCACTTGCACTGATTTTCGAACTCTTGAAGTTGTAGGAGCGGGAGTAGTAGGTGACTTTCCTTTAGATCTTGCATATGTTCTAGTTTGCCTTATGGGCTCTCTAACACCACTGGCCTCAGCTAAATCTCCCTATGTGAGGTCATCATCATCAAAGACCAACTCATTTTCTTCTTGACCGTCTTCTTCTTCGAGTGTTCCGATCAACCATTCATTACTTTCATCAATATGATCCAAAGTAATTGGATCAAGTTGGTCTTGTAGAGTGTAGCTCTTTAAGTGCTTGGTTATATTTTATATCAACCAAGTCATTAAGACGCTTTTGATCTAACCTGTTCCTCTTCTTGGAATGAATCTACAGAATTATTAACGAATGTAGAGTCAAAAGTAAATTTTTCAATCTTCAACTAACAAGGGAAAAACCAAATTATTCTCACTTACGTGTTCAAAAACATTCCAATTGTGCTCACAGCCAGAAGCGCTGCACATTAGACTAAGGACTCTCATGGCTAGCTTTCGTAAAATCGGAGCATTAACACCATAAAGAGACCACCATGCAGCTGTGCACATATTAAACAAATGATTTAGAATTTTAGTAGTTCAAACTTAAATATGTTTATTAAAAATTTAAAACTAAAAGTAATAAATAATGTCATTACCTGGTGTTTTAACACCCCTCGTCCTTATTGCTACATTACTCGAAAACATGCCTTTTGCTTTATTGTACAATTCTAATTCGATTGAACATTGAACTTGATCATCGATAGATGGTATTAATCGTTCTATAACTTTGATCAGACCATCTATGACCTCAGGATCTTGCATAATTCTCTCTTTGTTGTCATAGAAAAGAGATGGATTCAAATAATATCCAGCTGCATGTAAAGGCCGATAAAGTTGGCAATCCCACCTTTGATCAACAATCTCCCAAATCGGTCCATACTTCGCCTCATTTCCATTAAAACCACTCTTAATAGCCTCCTTTGCCCTATCCATAGCTTCGTAAATATAACCCATAGCCGGTTTATCACCATCTACTAGCCTCAACACACGAACTAAAGGGCCCGATGCTTTCAAAGTATACACAACTGAATTCCAAAAAGATGGCATCATAATGGTTTCAGCTGCTCTCTTCCCTTTTGGATCCTTCGCCCATTTAGAGGTGGTCCATTTCTCAGAAATAAACATCTTCCTCAATTGGCTTTATTTCTGTGAATACTGGCTAGGGTTAAAAATGAAGTTGCGAAGCGAGTCACTGCTGGTCTTACCAATTTATGTTGGTTAGTGAATTCTCTCATCATGTTTAGCTCGTACAAGTGGTTGTAAATAAAACCACTAAGTGCCATAGCCTTCCTAAGACACCTTTTCACCTGCTCAATCTTTCCAATATTCTCCAAAATTAAATCTAGACAATGAGCAGTGCATGGTGTCCAATATAGATGAGGTCGCTTGGCTTCTAAAAGTTTTCCGGCTAGGACATAGTTTGAGGCATTATCCGTCACAACTTGGACAACATTTTCTTCTCCAATCTTCTCCACCATGCCATCTAAGAGTTGAAAAATCTT